CTAAAGATGTTGCATATATTAAATGCTATATAAAGAATTCAAAGGAATTATCACAAAAAACTCAATGAAATCCAAGAAAAACATGAAAATAGATGAATAAAGTACAGAAGACAATGCAGGATAATACTTGAGAAATTCAGTGAAGAAACAGATTTTGAAAAAAAAAAAAAACAAATAGAACCTTGAAAATAAAAACTTCAATAAATCAGACAGAAAAAAAATTCAGTTGAATGCTCAAGAACAGACTAGGTCAAGTAGAAGAAAAAATAGCAGTGGAGCTTGAAGATAGGTTTCTTGAAATATTACATTCAGAAAAAAAGAGGCACCTTCAAGATCTCTGGAATTCCATTAAAAGATGAAACACTGGTTTTGGAGGAGCTAAAGATGGTGGATTGATAAGCGGCAGAATACAGAGGCTCCCTGAGACAAACCACTCAGATGCTAGAATAAAACATTGTGGAGAGGTCTGGACAGAGGGAGATGGATCCTCTCGACCCAGGAAGAAACTAAAGGGAAAAGAGCTGGTCAGACATGCAGTCCTGGGGCTATCATTGGAGCAGCTAAGATTAACGGCCATGATGCTCTCCCCAGAGAGCCCGAACTCATGCCACAATGACTCACTGGAGCCACCTTAACTACACCAGTGCGACCCGCGAGATCCACAGTTGTGCTGAAGTCAGAGGTCAGTGAGCCCAAAGGAGAATGGAGCCAGCAAGGAGCCTGCATTGACTCACGATGAGTGCTGGGAATAAGACCCTCCCACAGGAAAGGGGTGACCAGCTGGAAGACATGTTGGAATTGGGCAGGATGGGCAGGAACAAGGAACAGCAGTGACTTCAGTCAGTTGTTCCCTTCCCAGACCAGATTGGCGGGATCTGCTTGGCTTGGGTCACAGCCCCAGCTGGGACCCAAAAAGTCATCCCAAACTAATTCCATATGTGTGGCACACACTAATGCAATGAAGGCTCCTACAGATTGACTGACCTGGAGGGGAGAGGCCAACATATGACATCCCTGTTTGCACCTCAATGACCGACAGCAAATGGAGAGGGCAGAAGTCCCTAGCCAGCATGCTTCAGAAGAACCATAACCAAAAAAGAGAGGTGCTGGGGCCTTCTCTGTACACCTTTATAGAAGAAACCAAAAGCATGACAAGAGAAAGAAATAAGAAAAAGTCCCCAGCCCCTAGCCCTGAGAACACTGATCCAGGAGAGGTAAATAAAAAAGAGATTGAGGGCAGCAAACATGCAATATCAGACACAGCATCAGTGGACACATTGTCTTCGGGACCTCATAGATGAGCTCCAAAGTGAAATATTTAATCAAGTAAAGCAAGATATAAATAGATTAATAAAAGAAATGCTAAGCACCTCTCAAGAAGACACAGATGAAAAAATGGAAGAACACAAAAAAGGAGATAAACATTCAATGAGGAATGTAAAGTAAACCTAGAATACATGAAGCAGATTCAAAGAGATTACCAGGAAATTAAAAACCCCATTATAAGTTGGCTAAACCATTTGAAAGAAACTAAGGATATACTATCAAAACTTGAAAACAGGTTTGCAATGTGTGATCATGAAAGGAAAAACTCTTAAAAACAACAAGGAAACAGACAGTAATAATACAAAGGCTATCATGAAAGGAAAGATCTCTTAAAAACAAGGAAACAGTAATAATACAAAGGCTAGAAGATGACAAGAGGATCTATAACTTAAGAATAAAGAATATGAATGAAGAAGCAAGGGTAAAAACAAAGGAAATACAAAAGCTATTCACAGTAATAATTAAGGAAAACTTCTCAAGCATATAAAAAGGAAATGATATTCAGATGTATGAGGCATACAGAACTCCAGCCACCTACAACCAAAACATAGCTATACCCAGGCATGTAATAATGAAGATCCCAGAAATTCAATATAAGAACAGAATATTAAAAGCCATCATAGAAAAGAAACAGATCACCTATAAAGGAAAGCCCATCAAAATCACAGCAGACTTCTCAACATAAACCATCAAGTCAAGAAGAGCCTGAAGTGAAATATTCCAAGCCCTGAAAGTAAATAACCTACAACCCAGATTGATGTACCCTGAAAAACTCTCTTTAGAAATTAATGGAGAAGCAAGATGTTTCCAAGACAAAGAGGAACTGGGGGAATTCATGACCACCAATCCAACCTTACAGAGAATACTGAAGGACATTCTAGAGAGAGAAAAAAAGTATCAGGAACACTGGTAGAGAGGCCTCAATGAATGGAGCAGAAAGTGGAATGAAGAAGAAAAGCAGATAATGAATGGCAGAAAATAGCATAGCAGAAAAGAGGCAGGAAGGTTGGCTATAATCTCTAATATAGATGGCCTTGATACACTGAAAAAAAAAAGAAACACAGGTAGAGTAGATCAGGAGGTAGAGTCCACCAAGATACTCTTTATAAGAAATATAATTAACCTGAAAAAGGGTTTATGGACTGAAAATCAAATATCAGAAAACAATGCTCCATGTGACATGGAACCAGAGAGTAATAGGGGCAACTGACCAGCACCTGCAGATAAGTTGGAAAGACAGGCTGTAGTAGGTAAAGGAATACAACTTGAGATCAAGTCCAGGACGGAGAAGGTTCAGACTTACTTGGGTAAATAGCAAGATGGCACCCCAATCTAAAAACTGAGGGAGTTGGTGGGACCCAAAATGCACAGTGGACCCTGTGGGAGTGAAAGGGGAGGAACAGCCTTAAAATAGAAGAGCATATTTTAATAGTGTATCAGGATTTAAAATCCAAATTGCTCATACCACTCTCTTTAGATAGATTATATTCTGTTCTAGCCTGTCTACTTGCACTAGATTTGAAGGCACAGATAGCTATCCCCAAAATAGCAGAATATAGTATGGTAATCATCCTATCAATTTAATCTGAAGTTTGTATAAACTACACTATTCTACCATGACTGATCTTAGTTGAATCTGATTTGTTAGATTGCTATTTGGTGTCAACAGATTTTATTCAAAACTGTTATGATTGATAGTATCAAGTGTGAGAGTATAGGCAACTACACTAAAGATGATAAAATTCACTATGATACCCATTCTGGTTTGATTATTACTTGCTTTTGAAGTTTTACACTATCTACAATGTTTTGTTTTTATTAATATTGTTATGTACTGTTATATTCAATTATACTAAGCCTGATGATATACACAATTCTATTGAAGATAACAAGAGACAACACAGTAAGCACTGCAGATCACCTTGTACTGTGGTTTTATATGACTTTTTCATTTCATGTTTTTAGAGGAATATGTTCTGTGTTCTCTTGCTTTGTTTTGTTTCTCCCTCTAATATATAAAGGATAAAATACATGTAGAGACTCATGCATGCATAGAACCTATAAACAGTTTGTGAGAACTGATCATATAACGCATGATGAAATGAACAACTACTTTAAAGAAAAAGAGGCACTATACTACCCAGTGCTGATCCCATAGCATCATGATGTGAAATCCAGTAATACTATTATTCTTTGTTCAGGGTGATTTTAGTTTGTTTTGTTTTCTTTAATCTTAATATACATGAAGGTATGAACAACTAGTTTGAAGAGAATCAGAGACACAATGACAACCATTGTTGACTTCCCTTTTGTCTGATCTTGAAAACCTAAAATGCCTTCCTCATCTTGTTCAGATCAGTTCTATACTATGTTGTTTCATGTGAATTCTCTGTATGTGAAGATATGGTCAACTATTTGGAAAAAAACAGGCAGTATGAATGATAGTGAAGATCTCTGATTGTCTTGCTTTGAAATTGATGCCTCTTACATTGCTTTCTTATGTTCTGTTTTGTTTTGTTCTGTCCTGTTCTGTTAAATTTTACCCTCTTTAAGATAAAATTTGAAAAAAAAGATGCAACTGGCATAATCAGCATACCCCAAGTAGAACTAAGGTTGGAGGAAAATCTATTCAATGACATAACAGAAGAAATTCCTGAAATCTTGGAAGAGATGTGAATATTCAGGTACCTGAAATTCAGGTACAAGAAACTCTTAGAAACCCAAATAGACAAGTCTTCAAAAAGAACCTCTTTATAACATTATAGTCAAAATGCCAATATATATGGCAAATAAAATATTAGTCTTCAAGAAAAGGTGACAAACCAATCAAAACTTCCATGTAATCCAATTGAAAATGATCAAATGATCTAATTAGAAAAAAATGCAAATAACTAAATATATGAAAATGGTTAATATCATTAGTTATGAAAATGCAAATCAAAACAATAATGAGAATATATTTCTCTGTGCTTAGAATTATTAATATAAAAATTAATAAATTAAAAATAAATATCAAAATCTAACAAGTAATGGTGAGGAGGTTAGAAGGAGAAAAGAGGAAGAGGAAGAGGCAGTTGAACATACACTCCTAGATGTCAGAAATATTCTTTGCAGGCATAGTAAATGAGCCTACAGCTGTGCCTTGGTACAGAAAAAGGTCATCGGTTGAATGTGCCAAGGAAGCTCTCACCAACTTTACCAGATGCACATGCCACACAGCTCCGGCTGCCATTGGTCCTTTCTTATAGCCAGCTAGGCAGGAAGACAACAAGTTCAGCTGGCACAAAGATGACATAATGTGAACATCCTCAAGCTGTGTATACATGCTGAAGATGCCTTGGCACTGCCAGTGTGCTAGTGAAGGACGTGCTATCTCTTAAGATCCAAATAGGCCCAACTAAGGTTGCAGAGAGGAAATTAAAGCAAGTCCTGATTATGTCCTTCCTTGGCAGAGACACAGGTATGTCTTGGGCCCATCAATCTGTATCACAAGTGAGGAGCTCAGCAGATGATGGAAGGAAGTTAAATTCTACTAAGTCACAAATTAAAAAGACCTCCACAGAACTGCACTCACCCAAATTTACTCAGGCTTCAAAAGGATTTCTGTTTTTTGAAATGTTTTGAAAATGACCTCCAAATAGGTATCTTCCTTTATGAACTTAAAAATTTCTTACTCATCTGCACTGGGACAAGGAAGAGCAGGTTGCTTCTTTGAGTTGACTGATTCTCATACAGCAAATGTTGCTTCCAGGTCCCACCTTGTAGTGACACCATTACATCTCTGATTTATTAATGTCCCCATGATGCTCACCTCCTGGATAAAGACAAGGACATTAAGAAGATTCTACTGGTAATGAGATATTCTGCTCCCACTCTTTGAGATGGCAAATGGCAGTAGCAGAGACTGCTTCTCCAAAACAATAAAATTAGGCTGGCTTTTAAGAAGCAAGGAAAAGACAAAAGCAGAGGTCCAGCTTCAGAAAGAATCACATGAAGCCACAGTCACAAGTATTTGTCAAAGGATGTAGAATGGGACCAGAATGGCTATGTAAAAGAGACTATAGGTGGATACCCAATGTAAAACACATAGATAACACAGCAGAAGGTATCCCTTTCCAGCTCCAGCAAAGAGGGAACCCCAATAATTTAGCCTTTATGTATTATCTATTAGCATCAAAACAGACCCCTAAAGGAAAATCTAGAACAATATTCTGTGTTCCTGTCATTGTTTTCATAAGCCAAATTGGTGAGACCTCTGTGAATAGACAAGAGGTAAGAGAAGGAAGCAACAGGCATGCTACTTGCTAAGAACGAGAGGAGACTGTCTGCAGATGTGTTCAGACCAAGGCAAGGAAGTGTTCTTGCTGCTCCAAAAAATCCTGGGTGGGTCTAAACCAGCTGATCCATCTACTGGGCTCAGCCTAGGCAGGACTTCTTTTAAAATACCTACAAATTTCCAGAATCATTTTTTAAAGATACAGTAGGTCAGCCCCTGCTACAACCAAAACTAAATAGGTGGGAAGACACTTATAACTATAAAAGTCAAGAGTGGTTGCCCCAGGCTGTTTGCAAAAATTATCTCAACATTTTTACTACTTGATAAAGCTATTACTTTACTAATTTTACCAGCCTTGGAACTGAAGTTCAATTGCGTTTCTTGAACAATGTCTCACACACACACACACACACACACACACACACACACACACACACACAACCATTGCTATGTAAGTCAAGAGAATTTAGTAAGGAAACGCATCTTCCACTGCACTTTTACCTTTGTTCAAGTCTTGCACTGGTCATGAATACTGAAGAAGTGCTACTGAGGAATTAAACTTAGAAGCTGTTGCTTACTGCTCAAGAAAATTCTATGTCACCAACATCAACCATGCAACAGCCCAGAAAAAAATCTCTTTTCTTCTTCCCATTAACATGTTTCTCCCTAGGAATTGGACACAGTGCCAGTGGCCTCCACCTCCAACCAAACTAAAGAATCTGTGCCCATAGCATCTTAGATATCACATTCTGACTGTAACACCACTGGTCAAACTTTCAGCTTATTAGAAGATATGGTCCTGTAGAGTCAAGAAAGCACTACTGAGTCACTGTTAGCTGGTGTTTCTCTAATAACCATGAGGTAACCATACTCATTTCCATTCTCAGCAATTCTACCTCCTGATTAATTATTTCTGTGAAATTATTCAACCAGCCAAATTAGGTATCCACGGTTTATGCATGGAAATGCAAGGCTCTATGAGATCAGACCCACTCACAACTCGGTTTCTCTCACTGGGACAACCAACCAAAACTCACAATTCACATTAATTCCCATCCACACAAATAAATAAATACTCTAGGTTGCACCTGAACTGTGTATATGAAGAATAAGAAAATATCTCAATGAATAACCATAGAATTGTTCCTGGTTTCAGCATTTGAACCTACCAGTCAATAAAACTATTTCTTTTTTTATTTTTTATTTTTGTATTAAAAAAAGATTAAGATAAAAGAGGATATAACAAAAAAGGTCAGAACAGAACAATTTAAGCAACATAGTGTTTCACCACAAGACAATCCTACATAACAGTAGTTACCATAGTGTCTCTTTCCTTGAAATATTTGAGTATACCTTCATATACTCAAATATTTCAAGGAAAGAGATAGTATCGTATATGAAAGTATACTCAAATATTTCAAGGAAAGACAGTGTAAAAAGACAGTGTAAAACCATTCAAGAGAATGAAAATATTACAAGGTGTTCAGAACCAACTAACAGAAAACGAACAAAGGTTGCTATAATATCTTCTTGTCTATAATTTTTTTTTGGTACTGAGGATTGAACTCCCCCCACTCTTTTAATTACTATTGATTTATAAATCAATACCAATCATTTTAGAAGAAGAGACCTCTGAAAACTTTTTATTAAAAAATATTAAACATTAAATCAATTAGGACCATAGAATGAGCAGCATGTTCATTACCTGCTCATCTGAACACATAAACATGGAGGAAGGTAAAAAAAGGAGACCTTGTTTCATTATACTTAAGAGATCTGAAAACCTACAGGCTATAGGAAATACACAATTTGTGGAGCCAAGAGCAAAGTGACCCTTCAAGTAACTTCTTACAAAGTTTTTGAGAAGATTGGATTGATTGATTTTTCTGCTTATTAACTAACATTGGCTTCCATGCTGTTCAGGGGCTCAGTGACTCTAGCCATCACCTTCACCTCAAAATCTACTTAATCTCATAAATTCAATAGTTCTTCTGATAAATTAATTTTTAAAACATTATTGATGATAAAGTATGAGTTAGAAATGGAAATAAACCTAAAATGAAGACTACTATGGAGGCTCATTTAAACCAGAGAATTTCCTAAACTGATCCTACATATGAACTGTTTCCTCTAATCATCAACAACGTAGTGTTTTCTATAAGACACTCAGCTAACAAAAAGTAACCTACTCATCATTTTCCAACTGGACTTTGAACCTAAAAAAAATATATTCATCCTTCTTGTTTTCTCATTTGGACAATATTGGGGATTGAATCCAGAAAACTGACTCTGAATTACATCCCTACCTCAATAGGTCTCAATAAGCTGCAAGTTTCTCAGGCTGAACTTGAACTTGTGATCCTCTTTTTAACCTACTAGAGTATGGGAAGTACAAGCATGCTTATTCTTGTTTTTCACTAACCATGGACTCAGAATTATCCTCCATAAAGTGCTTCCCAACTCACATCCACTGTATTACAGAATACCAGTTTATATCCCCAAATGTCCCTTGGACAATTGAGGATAAATATAAAAAGGTGAACTTCAGTTTGAAGACTGAAGACAGTGCAAGACAAGTAATTTGTAAATGTCATTTGTTAATGGTGGAAAAGTGATGATGGGCAAAGTAATGTAGGAAAGATAAGACCCTTAGAGATAAAACCCTTCAAGCCTATGTTATGTCCTGAAAATCTATTTTTTCCATGTCTTACTAGGTTCTTCATTAATGATATTTCATCTCCAAATCTAGGGATACACCTCATGATTTAGCACCATGAGTGATTGATAAAGCACACACAGAAAGGAAAATTCAGCACCTTAAGTGTGCTTAGTGGGAGAATCACTTCTGCTCCGCATAAAATGTAAGACTATTCTCCCCAAGGCCAGGAGTGCTCCCATCTTTTGTTTTACCACAGACTCATTTCTTATGAGAGTTAGGATATCTCAAAATCAAAATATTTCAACAATTATCTTTTTCTACTCCTAACTTTTAAGAACTACTTTTAAAAATCTCTAGATGCTCTCTCTAAATTTCAAGTAAACTGAAGAAGGATCACTAAGTGGTTTGCAAATTCTACTTCCAAATGAAGAATAAGATCTACAGAAACAGATGGTGTACGTCTGTGTGGAGATAACCCATCAGAGACTCTTCAGAATTTTGAGTCAGTGAGGAACCTGAAAGACTTGCAGGTAGATGAGCAAACCCAGGCTTAGGGAAAAACAGTGTGAATTCAAAATGGGGAATAGACGTAAAAGTAAGGCTGAAGCAAGGTAAAATGCTCTTGAGGCTATTGATTTAGTCTTCCATAGTTTCACATTGTAAAGCAAAGTTTCTTCTTACGAGAACCAATCAGGACATAACCACTTATTAGGAACAGTGTCATTTAATGACTCCACTCACACTTACTCACTACACCACAAAACATAAATAAATAAATATGAAGCCAACTGGAAAACTAGAAATACCTGTCACAGGTAATACAACTAGGCTATATCAATTTTCAGTACATTTCTCTCCAGAAAGTAAAATCTTGCCCTTGGTATACACACACACACACACACACACACACACACACACACACACACAGACAGACAGACAGACAGACAGACAGACAGATAGATAGATAGATATAAAAGCTGATGTTTTTCAACAACCAAGTATAGAGGGCAGATTTTGGTTCATCAGATAAAGCAGAGTATTCCCACTTTAACGTTTTAGTTCAAGAAAGACATAGAACATTGTATCTATGTCTTTCTCACTAGAAAACAGAAGAATAGAACTTCCTCCAGTCCTTGGTGACTTGAAAGAAAATAGTGATAAACATACTCCACATAATAGTACAATTCTTGTTGTCATTATTAAATGATGTGAGTGAATCTTTACTACCATGAAGATGATCATTATGACCATAAGCATATTGAGTAATATGCACCATATATCTCAGTTCTAATTACCCAATCCACAGTGGTCAGCCTTGGGAAAGGAAATAAAATGGCCCAAAGACCACTGGTGAAAAACCTCCTATCTAGATAACAAGTGATTGAAGTATTTCTCCTTTAATGGACAAACTGAACTGCAGTTTCCTGAAGACTGGTCATTTATTCCTAATCTCATCTCCTAAAGAACATAAAATTTCAATTAAAATAAGATAGTGTTGTCTCATCATCATCTTCAAATAAGAGACTGACTATAAATTTTCTGGGTGAAACATTTTAAGAAATAGATAGTTTTCCAGTAGCTAAGAGATTAGCAAGTTATATAAAGAAAAGCCACATATCTGCACAGACTGGGGAATAATATCAAGGTACTTGTAACCTGCCAATCTGAAGAACATGTCTGCTCTAACAGCAAAATGTCTAGGTAAAGACACCAGAAAATGAAGCATCAGGCCCTCAAAACAGATCAGAGATGCAGGCATTGTAACCAAATTAAAACCTTTCTATGTTTCAAAGGGAGAATAGACAGCCAGGTTCAAAGTATAGGGTCCAATTAAGAGCCTCCAGAACAGTCAGTTCCCGGGAGATTCCCACATTCCTCT